CCTGATCAACCTTTTGAATATTTGGGATACGTAAACACTATGTATGTAGGTGATAGCGAAGTACTAGAACTATTACATGTACATATGTTAAGAAATGTTTAAAATGGAAAATCTGAAGTAATTTCCTTTGTGGAAAAATTCATTTTTGGTCGTCGATATTTTTGAATATTATACTTTCAGGCAAATTGGAATCTCATTCATCGAGATATCTTGGTTTAAAAACACTATTACCTGCTAAATAATGAAGCCAGGCCCTCCAGGATAGCAAGAGTAAACGTTGCTTTACGACGGGTGATATTCCCAAAAAATGTTGAATACACAGAGTATATGTGCGGAAGGTTTATTGTTAAATATAACGATACTTTTTTATTCCATTGTTTTTACAAATGACAAAGAATTCTCTCGGAAGTAGTACAGAGTGAGACTTTTTATGCTAATTTGAGGTGCAAATTCAAACTGATTTGAGGTGGAGGGGTGGGCTTTAAAGGCGGAAGTATAAAGTAAATCCGGATGCTAATAATGACTATATGTAATTATAGGGAAGCAAACCCGGATGATTTTTTACTTATGATTAGCTAATACACAAACGTTAAGACCTATGAATATATTGTATTTATTTTAATGTTATGACGAGTTGAAACTTACTATGACAATAGTGTATTAAGATCCTACACTGTCAGACTGTGTCCATTATTTAAATAAGACGTATATATATTGCTTTGATTCATAAAAGTGGGTTTGATAAGAACGGTTTGTCCTATACAAACACATGAGACGAGAAATCTTAAACATGTGGCCTGAGTCAAAACACAAGTTTTATAACAAAACCTTGTCGAAAAATGATAAACAAGTTGAAAATGAAACCTCCACTTATTCAAGAACTAGTCATTTAATAAATTGAAGCGAAGAAATAAAAAAAAGAGACACGGAGAAGTGGGAATGGGAGCCTTGATTAACAGATTGACACAATTTTCAATTATCTAATTTCTATTTCTTATCATACATCTCTAAGAGACTTACAGTGTAGGGATTGATTATAACAAATAATACATCATATAATTCTAAACTGGTTGCGTTAGAGCATAACAAATATCCATATGCACCTTTAGATTGTTTATTGCATATTTTACGAAATAATGGAAATGCTACAGTCTAATAAAAAGATCAAACATAAATTATTCTTCAGACTATAAAATTCTAAGTGAGACATGACTGCAATTTGTTGCAAATATATAAATATTAAAATAATTTTTTTTTTCAATGAACACATGTATAATTAGTTATTTTTTTGATTAATTATGATGAATTAATCATACTTTACAATACTAATTTAGTTTTAATCATACACTTATACTAATTTAGTTTTAATCATACGCTAAAACATCAATTTGTTTTAATTATAATCACACCAATTGAAAGGTCTTTATCTGGACTAACCATCAAGAACTCTTGATTAACACATTCAACTATGAGGCAATTTCTTTATGCCCAACTCCCAAGAGATAGATTAAGACAACAGCTGCATCAGATCTAGAGATGCTCTTACCTCCTGACAATAAACTCATTAATTTCTTTCTAATTTGACATGCAAATTTCTGCTAACAAAACTCTTCATGATTGATAATTATGCCCATGGGACAAACTGAATTCCTCTCAAAGCATAAACATTTGTTACAGATTGCTGTAAAGTATATAATGAAAAATATGCTTTACTTAATCTAACATTTTTGAATAAGGATACAACTATATTTTTACATTTTTTAGGATTATGAAATTTAGAATTTAAAAGACTAAGTTTAAAAAAAAATCGCTTTAATTAAAGGTCACAGTGACCTTGAAACAGGCCGTGACACACCTTCTACTTTAGATGTATACTTTTGCCAAGTTTGAAAGCTCTAGGTCTTATAGTTTTCTAGTTATTAGCCGGACAGGATTTTTCCATATTTGACTATAGCAACTTTGTTGCAAATACATAAAAATATATATATTTTTTTCAATGAACACATATATAATAAGTTTTAATCATATTATACAATACTAATTTAGTTTTAATCATACATTAAAACATCAATTTGTTTTAATTACATTACACCAATTGAAAGATCTTTATCTGGACTAGCCATCATAAACTCCTAATAACACAAACAACAATGAGGCTATTTCTTTTTGCCCAACTCCCAAGAGATAAATTAAGATAATGGCTGCATCAGATCTGGAGATGCTCTTAGCTCCTGACAATAAACTCATTAATTTCTCTTTAATTTGACATGCAAATTTCTGCTATCAAAATTCTTCTTGACCAGTGCTTGATAATTATGCCCCTGGGACACACTGAATTCCTCTCAAAGCATAAATATTTTTTTTACAGATTGCTGTAAAGTATATAATGAAAAATTAAAGTTTTTACTTAATTTAACATTTTTTTTATAAGGATACAACAAAATTTTTATATTTTTTAGGATTATGAAATTTAGAATTTAAAAGACTTAGTTTAAAAAAATCACTTTAATTAAAGGTCACAGTGACCTTGAAATAGGCCGCGACACACCTTCTACCTTAGATGTATACATTTGCCAAGTTTGAAAGCTCTAGGTCTAATAGTTTTCTAGTTATGAGCCGGACAGGATTTTTCCGTATTTGGCTATAGCATCTTTATTAAAGGTCAGAGCGACCTACTTTTTGTGCGCGACACACCGTCTACCCAAAAAGTATCAGTTGACAAAGTTTGATAATCCTAGGCCTAATAGTATTAAAGTTATAAGCCGGACACGAGAAAGCTAACAGACGGACAGCTAGACAAACATATGGACGGACACGAAGCCTATAACATAATACGTCCCGTCTTAAGACAGACGTATTAAAATATATCAATTCAACTAATTAATTTAAAAAAACTTAATCTATTATACAAAAATTGATTTTAGAAATAGGAGACAGGCCATCAAATGACAAATGCTATCTAAACTGACCAGCACTTATTTAAAATTCCCAAGGATTCAGATAAGAGCTGCTTGATCAGAGATATGCTTTAACAGAAATTATTGAGACAGCTAGCTTCCCTACATAGAACTCATTTATTGATCTTTGACTGAATGCACATCCACTAATTACTATTAAGGGATAAATGAATCTTAACTTTCTCCTTTGTAGTGCAAGCAAAATGCATAATCGCATGTTTCATTCTGAAATTAAATCTGAAAACAAAGATTTTACTATAAAAAAAATTGTGTAATCTTGATGCATCATTTTGAATAAGGTTCCTGTATGATTATTAGATTTGTAGGAACTACATGTATGCCAGAATTTAAAAAAAGATACTTGATTCATTTGGATTTGATATCAGACTAATAGTTCAATCTGAAATTTATATGGAGAATAGGCATGCTTATTCCAATCCCCCCAAACATACACACACAATATAGTTAGTTTTAATTATATTATACAATATCAATTAAGTTTATAATACAATTTCATAGTTTATTAATCAATATCAAATAAGTTTGAAGTTGCTTTTTCTCAAATTCATTCAACAAGATAGGCTATAGTCACTAAACCCATTTAAGGCTGATTCCTTAGCCCAGTTCGCAAGAGACAGATAATTGCTTGATCAGAGAAAAGTTCTACCAGTTAGTTCCTTACACTAAACTAATTAAATTCTCTCTTATTTGACATGCAATTTTCTGTAATCATAATTCCCCTTGACCAGTGCTTGATAATTATACCCTTGGGAGTGGTAGATTTTCTCTTATAAAGTAACATTTGTTATTGATTGCTGTAAAGTTTATAATGAAAAATATATGTATATATTTTCTTAATTTAACATGTTTTAAATAGGGATACTCCACTAGTCTTACATTTTTGGGATTGTGTAATTCAATAGTAATATTTTTTTTCTTTTTAATTAAAGGTCACTGTGACCTTGAAATAGGTCATGACACACCTTCCAAGTTTGATGATTGTAAGTCTAATAGTTTTCTAGTTATGAGCCAAAGAAAACACAAAAGAAAAAACGCCTGTAAAATGCAGAAAAATCATCCAATCATGGTGAAAATACCAGGTGCACACGTTCATATGGTGAGTAATGTGTACAATTTTTCAGAAAAATCAATCAAATAGTTCCTGAGAAACGGTCCGGACAAAATCTTGTCTACAGACGGACGAAAAAGCTGATTCCAATATACCCCCCCCCCCCTAAACTTCGTTTGCAGTGTATAATCACACTGTATTCGAAATTAATACCCCCCCCCCCCCCCCCGGGACATAAAAACAATTAAAGTTACCTGGTCCAAATGAGGCACAATTTTTGTATAATTAATTTAAATGTTCAAAAAATGTATATAAATAAATAAGGCAACAGGGTTTTATTTTGGTGTAAAATAAGATTTACAACATAATCTCACTGATAAAGTCAGTGTGATTGATTGTATATTGTTTAACGTCCTTCTCAAGAACTAGCATCAAAACTTGATGCTGGAGATTTGTTTCTTTTTACCTATTTTTTTTTCAAATGGAATTATTTGGTTGAATAGTCATCTCATTTATATTTCATTCAACCAACAATTACAACATTATAACAGTGGTATAACTAAACTGAACACCATAACAATAAAAAAAAGTTATTAATGTAATTGGAAACACAGACAGGCACAAATCCGTCTGGGGCCTGAATGAAACATTATATTCTGTTTCATTTTATTATTGCAACAGATACATGTAATATTCTATATCATTCATATTCTTTTCTTGGTATTCTATTCTAAATATATTTATATTTGTTTTGTTAAGATCATATGAAATTAGAATTTATTCTAAATTTTCATCATCACATTACAAATCTTGCATTTCATTTCCCTCAAGTGTTGATCGATATATAAATGAAGTAATTCTGTGTTAGGTACTATGTTACAAGATAAAGTCATATATCAGTGCAATTAACAAGTACTTGAAAATCTTTATAATTTTATTTCACAAAGCCACAGTAACAAAAAGTTTATGTTCACACATGTATTTGATTTTCTTCACTTTACCACTCCCCCACTCAGTCACAAAGAAGTTGTCTCTGGTGTCTACACATAAACCCCACGGACCACGTAGATCACAGTTATCAATGTATCGGAGGAACTGTCCGTCCTGATCTAGGATGTGGATACAGTGGTTGTTACAGTCTGCTGTAAGGATCTGACTCTGCCTGTCAGTTGTGATGCCGTATGGATCAAATGATCCCTTGGTAGAAGAGGGATGACCAGTGTATCTAAATTGGAGTTTTCCTGCCTGATCAACTACCACTACTGCTTTGGCTCCCCAATCAGCCACACAGATATCTAGGTTCCTGTTCTCACTGATGTATTTAGTACACTCAACAGATGAGAAAAAAGGTTTACCTTCTCTATCAAACTGAATAGTTTGTTTCTCTGTGGAGCCAGAGAAACGGACAACTTTTGATTGTTTTTCTTCATCACTGACCATGGTAACCAGGAGGTCACCAGAGGAGGTACTACAGACATTGTAAGGTATCCACCCTTGTAGTCTGATCACTTCCTGTATCTGTTTTTTTTTCACTATGTTTACAGTTTTTGTATCATAGTCAGTATAAACTAGATCTCCACTCCTTGTCACTGCTATGTCACGTGGTATGGTCCCAGACTTGGTTTTTATTGATTTCAGTAGTTTGCCCTGGAGGTTGTAGAGTTTTATGACTTTGCCATTACCTCGTATCCATATTTCTTCATCATTAAGACAGGTAACACTGTTTGGTATATAACCAGTGTCCGTGGTGGTGATGAGCTCTGGTTTATCAAGCAGTGGTCTGATTGGAGGACAGGATATAGCTTCTAGTGTCTTCATTGTGTAGCCATGTTCTTCTGTTGTTATGGATAATGCTGACAGAGATCCAAACATTTGATGGAGCTGTTCTGTGTTGATCTGAAGAGGAGAGAAACTTGGTATTGAAACATTGATTTTAGGAGGTAATCTTTTGAATTCAGCATTCCTGGATTTGTACGCAGAGGATAGGGAGACATAATTGGAGTTCAGTATTGTCTTCAGATCATCTATGCACTGTTTTACTTCAGAGGTTATTTGTTTGATTTCATTTTCCTGCTTATTTAGAGCAGCCAGGTGTTTAGTTTTCATCTCATCAATTTCTGTTTTTTTGTTTGTTGACAATGATGTTAATTTCTCTGTTCCAGTCTTCTCCTTGTTTGGTGACAGCTGTTGTCAGTTTCTCATAATGCTTTTCCAAGTTGACTTTTTCAGAGTTTAAATCTGAAGCAATTTCTTCATATGTAGGATATAGTCTTTTCTCTAGTTCTTGTAAGTCTCTTTCTAAACCCTTTCTTTTATAACTAAGATTCTGAAGAGCATCAGATAAATCATGTCCTTTATGTTTTACCGAGGAGATGCAGGTAGAACAGACAGGAATGTCACACTCGTCACAGTAAAGTTCACAATGTTTCTGGGTGTGGTTTGGACATTTTGGGTAATTAGGGGTAGACGTTCTGTGTTTGTATGGTACAACGTTATGTCTTTTAGATGAATCAGAGAGATGTTTTCCTACACAGACTATACAGAGATTTACATGACAAAGCTCACAATGACTCTGTAATGCAGCTGTTTGACACAGGTCACAGACGAGGATGTCTTGGGCACTGTAACGGGGGTCCACTACTGGGGTTTGAGTCAAAGAATAAGTGGAACCTGTAATTAAAAGTTAAAGGATATTTCGATCACATAATTACAGGAACGTAAGGATAAATGATACAAACACTCTTTTTTCTTAAGAGGAGACTTAATATCATGTCACAAGTTAAGAGAACTGGATAATTCTTAGAATTTTTCTCCTATGGTCAGGACATTAAATAGATTTGGAAAATATTAGTTATATTTCAATTAAAAAAAAGCAAAAATAGACAAATTACACTCAGTAATGGGTTACAGATGAATTCAAATTTCAGAATGTTACCTTGGTGGTGAAAGTGTAATTTAAATTTACAAAAAATATACCAAGTCAGGTGAATTTGATGAGGAAATACAAAACAACAAAAAATCAGCAATATCACATAAACTGATTTTTACCATTTTGCTTTTCTAAATAAAATTCACCTGGCTTGGTATATTTTTCTAAAGTTCATACTACACTTTTAGCACTAAGTTGACTTATTCTGATTTTTTTTTTTTCATTTGTAAACCTTTACTGAGTTTGTTTTGTACACATTTTCCACTGCATTCACTGAAAGTAGGGGATATTAATTTGGGTTGTCTGTCCGTCCGTCTGTCTGTTAGTCCGTCCATCCTTCTTTCTGTCTGTCTGTAACCCTTTCGTTTCCATACATCTTTAAGCTTTCGCAATGAAATTTTGCAAAACAACTTCTTAAGGCTTAAAGAGGAACCCTATTGATTTTGAGGTCAAAAGGTCAAGGTCATAAATCAATAATTTCTGTCTGTCTGTCCGTTTCCGCACGATATTTCGAGAACCATTTGAGCTTTCGCAATGAAATTTTGTATAACAACCACCTATGGCCTAAGCAGAACTCCTATTGATTTTGAGGTTAAAAAGTCAGAGTTCAAGGTAGTAAATTTATACATTTTCTCTGTTTGTACCACCATCGTTTCCGGCCGATATTTCAAGAAGATTATGGGCTTTTGCAATTACATACTATACCAAATCTACCTAGGGCCTCCTTCAACCCTTTCAAAGTGCCCTCCCATTTGTTTTATTATTGTATCAACTTGGCACTATTTTTAGCACAGGGGCATGTGGAGAGTTATAACGTTTAATATACAGGTTGTTGGCTGACTATTTTTCTTATTACGTATATTAGAACTGTTTGATAAATTAATTTATATTAAATAAATTAGCTAAATTAGACACCATGCATTTGTGTAAGGAAGGATATGGAGATAACCAGCAGTAGTCAATCTCAAAGTCCATAAAACAATACAAAACAAGAGTAGAGCAAACACGGACCCCTGAAAAATCAAAGGTGGAGTCAAATGCCATGGAGTAGTGAACATCCCCTGCCGACCGGTCACAACCGCCGTTTTCTCCTTGTCATGATCAGGAAATAACGAGAAAAATCCGTCGTCAATTCAGTGTATAAATAATGGACTTACAATTGGTATGAAAAACGTCAGTCAGCATTTGACTCAATGATAAACTGTATTTGCTGACAAGGTCATTGTTTCGACCATAGAACTTACGAAATGATGACTTTAAACGAGACTGCTAACATTCTTGATTCGTCAACTTAATTGTCAATAATTTACCTCGTTTTAGAAATTTTTCATAGCATGCTATGCTTCGTCAGTTTCTACGTAGAGCATGCTCTTGCGTATTGAATCAACTGAGATATATAAAACTGTACTCCGTATGCAGGTGATGAAGGTATATTACTGCATAAGTAAGGGAAGTTGAAGATAGAAAAGTTAAAGTCATCACGTTTATCATATAGCTTAGTTGTTAGATTACCATTAGTGTCTTTTTCAAGTAAAATACCCAAGTATGAAACAAAAGTGTCGGACTCTGTGGTATCTTTTATCTCAAACTATCCAGGATATATCGTATCGACGTAGGAATGGAAATTACCAGTATTTATTGACAGTACGTCGTCGATATATCTAAATGTCGAGTTGAAGGCCACAGCAAGTGTTTTCTTGTTTTCACGCATAAAATTTTGCATAAATTCTGCTTCATATGAATATAAAAATAAGTCTGCTTATAAGGGAACACAATTTGTACCCATGGGAATTCCAATAGACTGTTGGAAAACCTGGTCTCCAAAAACCACATTGGTGTTGTCAATCAGAAAGTCAAGCATCTTCCTGATGTCAACTTTAGAGTACTTATGTGTGCAATCAGAATCTGTTTTAACAAAATATTTTGCAAATGACCGATGACGAAGTAAGTAAATTTACGAGTTCCATTTTTATTGAAGAAGCAGCTGTCAATGATATCTAAAAGCCTGGATTTTAATTTGTCGTGGGGAATTGTTGTGTATAAAATTGAAAAGTCGCAAGTTTTTAAGCTATTGATTTGTGAAAAGTCTTGCGATTTTAAAGTGTCCAAAGTTAAAGTTCTTTAGAATTTTTTAGTATCCACATCTGATTCACTACTGGAACCTGCAATCTTTGTTTGTAAGGATTCTTATGAAGTTTTGGAATCCAATATATCAT